CAAACTCCTCTCTTCCCACACATGCAACTTGGCCTTCCGCACGTGCAGCCCTGGTCCCCCGCATGTGCGGCCCTGGCCTAGCAACCCGGAAAAATCCCGGTCCTCTCCCGGGCACTCCGGACCAGACCCCACACCTCTTGGAACGAGTGATAGTCAACAACGAACACAACTAGAATAAGGACTACTAATTTTAGAATTATTTCCAATTTTTTCAATTCCAACGAGAATAAAAGAGAATGAAGCCAACAATAAAGAAAAAGAAGGAAAGAAAGAGACTCGGGAGTCACAGGTTGTCAAAAGTGGAAGAAGGTAGTAACCAATATTGGGGGTGACTTCTGCACCAATTGTTAAATATAGTAACTATGTATTCTATCTACCATACATACCATATTATTACCACACTCATGATTACCATACTTAGATTTTTCTTCTCCTATATAAAGGAGTGTTGTATACACATACTATTGAATATATACATAACATATATAATATTCTCTCTCTCTCTCTCTCTCTCTCTCTCTCTCTCTCTCTCTCTCTCTCACACATATTGTAACATGATATCAGAGCTAAGTTAAGTACCTAGTAATTTCCTTTCACTGGAGGGCGGCAGCCTTGCCTTGGCTGCCTGCCGGACCTCAACTCAATCCACTGCCATAGTTTCCTTTCAGTATTGTTTTGTGGTGATTTCCTCATTTTTCCGTTGGTTTCTCTATATTCCTCTATCACCAACCAAAGTTCCGCTGCATCTCCCAACTCCAGCCATCGCCGCCATCTCACCATGTTCCCACAAACCCATCGCCATCTCAATATCATACTACATATTTTATTATTTTTTCTTCATTAGTTTCAACGGCAAAACTAAGTTTTGTTACAGATTTTTTTATTTATTTTATTCCTACCATCACATGGGCTTGCTTCCACCAACCCATCCAAAAAAAAAAATTTAGTTCTTTCTTAAAAAAAAAAAATCTCTTTTTTTGCTCCACTCTATCTTTCCCTCTGCTTCAACCTGAAATAGGTTTCTATTTTCAACCCTATTTGAGTTTGAGGGGGTATTATATCTATATCATGGTGAGCATGGTTATATACCATGCAAACCACCCAATTTGCCCCATTGGTGCATACAAACCTCTTTAAGCTGTCCCCTTGGCGAACTACCTAAGTCGTCCCCTTGGGGCACTCCCTAAGCCACTCCTTGGCACACTACCTAAGTCGCCCTCTTAGCACATTTTTTGTTCTTTTCCAAGTTACCTCTTGGGGCACATGGTCCCTTTCCAAGCTGCCCCATGGCGCGCTTCTTTATCTGTTTCCATCATCGTTCAGCATGATGTCATAAGTTATGTGTATGCCATGTTTGCTAGTTCAACATCCAGTTCTTCTTCAATGGTTCGACACAACCAAAAATTGTCTTCCAGGCGCACCTTTGGTGCTCCTGGACGGTTCAATATGACCTCACCAAAAACTGTCTCCCGGCATTAGTTTCGGCCTCTAATCTATCTCAAGCACTCTTGTGCTTCAATCTGGACTCTGCAATTTATTTGCCTCAGATCTATCCATATTTTTAGTTTTATTTCATGTTTTAGTTTCTCTCTCCAAACTCAAGTTATTATCCTTACTTGAGTTTAAGGGGAGGTGTTAAATATAGTAACTATATATTCTAACTATCATAGATACCATATTATATTCATTACCATACTTAGGATTATCATACTTAGATTTCTCTCCTCCTATATAAAAGAGTCTTGTATACACATAATATTGAATATACACACAAGTTCAAATGTTATCTAAAGTAAAGAATTTTGATTAAAAGATGAAAATAAATTCACTAAAAATAAAAAATTTACTCACTTTTTTTTTTTAGATAGGGAATTAAGTCACTTATAATTTCTAAATTGGGCCAAATGAGGCATTAGTAAATGTTGGTTAGTCATGTGTTGGTAGCCAAACATAGATAAAGTTACACCATTAATTTTTTTTGAAATTAAATATATGTGTTATGATTAATGGATCAATCTGACTTATTTATTTATTTTTGAATGATTTACCTACACGAGATTATAAAATTAATATATCAAATTATTGAAGTAAGATTCATGATAGATCTCATGTGCAATAGTGGAGCTACAAAATCAATTTAGAGATGTCACCTATTAAATACAAATTCAAAATGTGTATTCTACTAGTCAACAATAATAAAATAATGGATAAAAAACAAATTCAAAATGTGTATTCTACTAGTCAACAATAAGAAAACTAGCGTAATTTTTAGAGCCTACGGTGAAATTTAACTGGAAATTGATTCGGATCAGATTAAATTGATGTTAGTGGGGTTTGTCGTATTAAGACACTACACCTCCTATTCCCTCTTCATAACTTCATTTGGCTGATTTGAACTCTAAATTAGAGAGAGGGCCGGCTATAGTGAGAGAGAGGGAGAGAATTGGGTGATTTTGGCTCAAGGTTTGGAGAATTTGAAGATTAAAGCCAAGATTTTGTTATAGTTTGGAAGATTGAACTCTTGGGTAAGTAAACTCATGGATTTTTGTTTGTAATTTGTAAATTCAAGTTTGATTAATGGCCAAGAACATGAGTTAGTTTGATTATAAGGGAATTGAGTTGATTTTGTTGAATTTTAAGTCATAGAACACATGCATGTAGAAAATTGCTATGGATTTCCATGTTTGAGCTTAAATTGTGTAATCCATGTTGGAGTTTGATTGAAATCCATGTATATGACCATTTCTTCACCAAATAAGTTAGGAATAATGTGTATCTCCCACATGCAAGTGTAGATCATGGAAATGTAAGCTTTGCATGTTTGAATTTAGTGTGTTGGTGATGAGTTTGAGTCAATTTGGAACATGCATGTGTGTAATACAAGAAATTAAGCTCCATGTTGGTGTATTTTAGTGTTGGTACCATGTTAGTACAAGTATATGTGAAATTGGAGCCATGATATGCAAGAAATGTAGTTGTAATGTCGAATTTGAACTCAGAAACCATTTTGGAAAACCCAGAATTTATGATGTCCGCTCGAGCGGGGGAACCGCCGCTCGAGCGGGGATTTTGAGCTCCCAGTATTTTTCTTGCAAACATGGTGTCCACTCGAGCGGGGAAGTTCAAGCTCGAGCGGGGACCTATATACGATGAACTTCCACTCGAGCGTCCAAGTTCACGCTCGACCGTAAAAATGATGCATCCAATACTTTTTGCAGACATGGCGTCCGCTCGAGCGGGGAAGTTCACGCTCGAGCGGAGAGCCATGTAGAGAGGCCTTCCGCTCGAGCGCCAGAGTGAACGCTCGAGCATAAATTTGGCATAACCAGTACTTTTGCAGGCCTCTTGGGTCCGCTCGAGCGGGGAAGTCCACGCTCGAGCGAGGACCCTGTTTTCTAAAATTTTGAAAGTGTATTATGTGTTTCGTTTTCCATTCTCTTTCACTTGCAAGCACTCTTAGGCATGCATTAAGTATTGTAATAGAGTTAAAGAGATAAGAATGAAGCCTAAAGAGGAATATGTGAATTTAAGAACGGATTGAATTGTTTGTGACCCATATGTGTTATATGATGTGTAGGGTCAAGCTCCAGGGCAAATCCACAAGCCGATCACTGTGAGTAATATCTTAACAAGATATTTGAAATATACTGTTGTCCAATTGTTTACTTCTATGTAAGTTTTGGAAGTTCATTAATTTGAATGGTGAACAACGATTGATATGAATGATTGGGCCAAAGGCCGATGGACATGAATGATTGGGCCGAAGGCCGATTGATATGAACGATTGGGCCGAAGGCCGATTGATATGAACGATTGGGTCGAAGGCCGATTGATATGAATGATTGGGTCAAAGGCCGATGGACATGAATGATTGGGCCGAAGGCCGATTGATATGAATGATTGGGTCGAAGGCCGATTGATAAGAATGATTGGGCCAAAGGTCGATGGACATGAATGATTGAGCCGAAGGCCGATTGACACAAATGATTGGGCCGAAGGCCGATTGATCCAAGTGATTGGGCCAAAGGCCGTCTGTTGTAACTGTTTCAAAGATTGCTTATGTATCTACCTTATTTGATATTATTCACTAGGCTTTCGCTCACGCTCATTCATGTACATGTAGGTGAGCCAAGGGATGTCCAGAACCAGCCTTGGTGAATTTGCGAGAAATAGTCAGAGTTTTGAGGAGTCAACCCAAACGTCTCACGCACGAGATTGTCTTCGCCTTTGTCCTTTGTTCATAGTTTTTGTTATGATTGGCGAAAGCATTGGATTACTTTTGTATATAAGTCTTGGGTTCGACTAACTTAAACTTGTATGATCCTGTATGTACAGTGTTTTGTGTTAGTACATATTTCGATGTGAGTTATTAACATATAAATGTTTGGAATGTTATGGTGTGCATATAAGCACAGCTCTATGGACAAAGTTTTAAATTGCTTCCGTTTGGCCCCTTTACTCTGATGAGTTTTGTTTTATTTGGATTGAGACCGTAGGTAATCTCATGATTACTGGCCGGTTATGGCCTTAACCCATAGGGGCGGGTTCGGGTTGTGACAATATTATACTTATTTGTTACCTATTTTAGGTTTAATATATGAAACAAGGAATGATGAACAGAGGCCAGCCTGTTGGTTGAGCAAAGTGGATGCCTAATCTCTTCTCGTCTTGTAATTTAACCCCAAATTAGATTATCTAGAGATTGAAAAGCATCCACTAAATTTTAGCTAGTTAATAGTAGTCATTAGTCAGGGGGGAAAAGAAGGAGATAATACAAAGGCTTTCATCAAATGAGTTCTTCAATAAAAACCGTAAAGCAAACCAAATAATAATTTAAGGTCATTAATATGCACCATGGATAGTGAACCTGCCATTGACTCTGCCTACCATACCTTAAGGTCCACAAGGCTTGGTATTTTTACAAAATCTCCATTAATAACATAAAGCATCCAATTAATGTACATGAAAGCCATTTCTATAAAGAGTTTGTTAAATCATTTTTAACCATCAACAAGTAAGAGGAACAATGAACTCACAGCTTGAACCTGAGCCTTGTACTTCATGTGTCTGCCAAAAAAAAAAAAAGGCAACAGAAATAATATTAACAGAATGAATCACTGCAATGTAAAATAATGCTTCCCATTTCTACGGGTTCATATACGAAAGGATAAGATAATATTCACTAATAGTTAAGGGGGCCTTGATGTAATTAACCCTAAAAAATAATATCTAACAAAACAATGGCTATATTAGAACTTAGAATTTGCAAGAAAATCAAAATTAAAAAACTTGAAAAAGATATCTAACAAAACAATGGCTATATTAGAACTTAGACTTTGCAAGAGAATCAGAATTAAACAACTTGAAATAGTCCACAATCATTGTGCAAAAGAAAAAAAAAACAAAAAACAAAACGAAACAAAACAAAACAAACGAACGAACGAACAAACAACAAATGTTCCAGATATACGAAGTAAAAAATACAAGTAACAAAGTTTGTGACAAGGTTAACAACATTTTCAAATAGTAAAATAATATCAAAAATAAATTAACAAGCTATAATTCCCATAAAGCTCATCATAGAAGATGCATAAATGATTGCCATTACCATTCTTAAATGCCAAGAAGTCGAATATGGAATGAAATACTGAGACAATCATTGTAATCACCAGAAGGTTCGGATTCCCTTCCAAGAATACTCTCTAAAACAAAGAATAAATAAATCAGAATTGGAGTAAACATGTATACACATTTGTATGAACATGCATAATAGTTACAGAACCAAAAAAGAAGCAAAGCCAATAACAAAAAAACACAACCAAACCATACGAGGATCACATTTTAGAACATATTCTAAAGAAGTAGCTAGTTCTTAACTTCAAAAATGTGCATGTATGTATCATGCTGTATCTGTGTTTGTGTTTGTACTCATACCCGTACCTATTCTTCTTAGATTGCAATTCAACATCGCCATTTTTTTCAATGCATAAACAGGAAAATTTTATGTATCGTGTTGTATATGTGTCCATACTCATACCCATATCTATGCTTCTTAGATTTTAATGCAACAATACCGCTTTTCCCAATGCAGAAACAGGAAAATTTCAAGCACTAAGAAAGATTGTCGGTCAAAGTAGAAAGATAAAATGTTTAGAATTAAAATAGTAAAACTTTTCCATCAGATAAAATAATGTGTCCACTTAGCAACTTTACAATGAAAAATAAGCCACGTGTGTACTATAGTGCATAGTTGATCCCATAAATAAACTTAATCGATATATCTCAAAGTTTCTGGAAAATCTCCTTTCAACTTGCAACATCATTTTATATGCACTAAATAAGTTCACTTCAACTATTAGAGAAATTGAAAGACTGATTGACAAATATTATGTATTTGCTTGATTTCCAAAACAAAAGTTAGAACTAAAATCCAAAAGTACATATTTCTTCAAAGCTTCCTATTTACATCAGGCCAGAGAGATTTCTTATGCTCAAAGAAAAAGTAATACCTTAAGTTCATTAGCCTCGCCTTCAAGCATACTCCCATAACTACGGTGAATCTGGAAGGATTAATCAATCTGCAGGAACAACTGCCACTTGGTCATGCTTATTGGACTATTTTTAACTAGCTCATTTTAACTATTTTTTAACAAAATCTAGCTCATTTTAACTAATTTTTTTCCAACAGTAATTATAATACTAGATAGAGCAAACACTGATGGGTTGTCATAACAAGAGTCTTGACAGGAATAAGTGAGTACATAATTCCAAAAAATCCTAACCCATATTACCAATGAGATTTTGAGACAGGTAAAAAAAAAAATATACATGCAACATGGCATGACCCAACTAAACATTGTATGACATGAAAGATGAGACAAAGCACACTCGTAGGTATTCATCTGTCTCTACAGGGGTCTTCAGTAGATGGCAACTCAATCAACTCAAAACTAAATATTAGTTGGTCTGAACTTTTTTATGTTATTCTACAAAAAGAAGGAATGGAAATCCATGATTCACTATTTGAGGACATTGAACTAAGAACGTGCCAATTCAGCAATATGAGCTGAGGCACGTAACAATTCAACAATATGTAGCATCTATCAAATTCCCAACTTCAATTCTCCATGGATCCTTAACTTTAAGCCTAAAAGGTCCTTGATAAATCAAACCCACAATTTTCAAAATAACTAGAATATAGAGTAGCCCACACAAAAAGAGTGAAGTGTTTGGTGTAGGCTTTTAAGCTCTTTTTTTTTTAATGGTTTTTTGAGGATTTGAAGTAATTTGAGAGGAAACAGAGAGAGAGAGAGAGAGAGAGAGAGAAATGGTAGAGCTGACCTTAGTAAAATCAAAATCGCCGGTGCAGATGGTGATGGCGATGGAGTTTCGAAGTCGAAATCACACTGCAATCCCTGAATCTCTACAAATGAGGATCAAGTAAGAATGCCTTAAAACAGTGATTTCATAGATCTAGAGAGAGAGAGAGATCTAGAGAGAGAGACAGTGGAGTTCGCTGCCTTGGCGGTGTAGATGGTGGTGGCGATGGAGCTTCGAAATCACTCTGAATCTTCGAAATCGCCGGTGCAGATGGAGCTTCGGTGCATATGTGGTTCTCGTTGACAACACCTGGTGGGGATATTCACTTTTACATTTGTGAATATTCTATATAAAAATATCAAAAACCCTAAGTAAGAAGGTCAAGAAATCACCGATGCAGAGAAGGTTGAAAGAGAGAGAGATGTGTGCGTACAAGGGTTAAGAGAGAGAGAGAGAGAGAGAGAGAGAGAGAGAGAGAGAGAAAGGGCTTAGATTCAAAATAAGGGTTTCAAAAATGAAGGATGAAGGAAGCGCGTGTTCCTACTGCCTTTGGAGGCGTTTTTAAACGCCTTTAATTATAAAACGGTGCTGTTTTGATAAATAATATATGCAACGGTTATAAACGCCGTTAAAAATATAAAAAAGTGACATTTTAAAAAACGTCGTTAAAACTCATTTTCCCTGTAGTGATTGGAACTCACATGCCCAACAAGATTGAGATGGTGGTCTGAATGATTGAAACCTCTGTTTCTCTTTCCACTAACAATCTCTAGCACCAAAACACCAAAGTTAAATACATCTGACTTTACTAAGAAAATCTCATCCACTGTGTACTCCGGAGACATATAGCCACTATAGTAAAACATTAGAAGAAGAAAAAATTTATAGAAACAAGATTGAATAACATAAAGCATGCATATATACGTACTATGTTCCAACCACTTTGCTTGCATTCGCTCCTGTCTCATTTCCTCCAAAACTTCTAGCCACACCAAAGTCCGATATCTTTGGGTTCATGTCAACGTCTAGCAGAACATTGCTAGCTTTGAGATCTCTATGGATTATTCTTAGTCTAGAATCTTGATGAAGATAAAGAAGCCCCCGAGAAATGTCGTTGATGAAGTTAAAGCGCTTAGTCCAATCCAGTAATGTGCCACGGGTCCAATCTGTGCAAAGTTTTTTAATATAACTAGAAAAGAGTTTCTAAATATAAAACCACTTGAATGCCAAGAAAACTAAAATAAAAAAGATGGACTTGTTAAGCTTTAGAGCCGAACCAAAAATAAGGAAGTCCAAGCTTTTGTTAGGCATGTACTCATAGTTGAACATTGTCTGGTCTCCATGAATGCAACATCCCAGAAGCTTCACAAGATTTCGATGTTGGAGTTTGGCAATACAAATAACCTCATTCTTGAACTCATCTAATCCTTGTCTAGAATTCCTCGAAAGTCTCTTCACAGCTATTTCTTGTCCCTCTTCAAGAAAACCTTGAGGACAAATTACCATTTGTGAGTTGTGAGGCATGTTACTTTTTCATCTTTCCCTTTTGTCATCTTCATTATTTACTGTCTTTTTCTACCTCATGTCTAACATCTTCACAACAAGTTCTACTATGACTACTGCATTTTTCATACAGAAGATAAAAATATAAATTTATCTACTGAACGAACTCATCATTTGTTTTTAAAAATAAAAAAATTAAATATAAAAAAAATACAAAGAGATTTTAGTTCAGTGTCAGTCACTTTTTATTAAAATAACTTCGTAGATCAGGATCGTTGCTTCTTCTTTTTGAGCACCGATTTACTAACTATAACATTTTAACATTCAGGGTTACCTTGTAAACAGAGCCAAATCCACCCTCTCCAAGCTTATTATTCTCTGAAAAATTATCAGTTGCATTTACAATTGCACCTAAGTCAAACAATGGTAACTGCAAATCTTCTTTCTGGCTTTCATTGCTGTCAATGTTAGATCTCTGTCTCACTACTCCTGAAAAGAATTAACAATAATTTAAACAATAGAACTTGTCGAGGCAAGGTGTGCATGTACTGTACAAGTCATACAAGCACACATGCTTGAATGCTTCCTTCAAAATATTAGGAAAAAAAAGGTTATTTTTGGATCAATTACCTTTTCTCTTGCGCTGCCTGTGCTTCTTTCTCCAAACATACAATGCCAGGCTCAGGCATATCAGCAGCATTCCAATTGTTAATGTCAAGCCCACTATGATTCTATCTCTTCTCTTCCCATTGGAGCCAACTGATTCTATCCACACACAAAAAATGTTGAAAACGATCTATTAAAAGATTGCGGGAACATTTGGTATGGTTTACATTTTCTGTTTTCTGTTTTCTAATATGGAAAACAGTAATCTGTTTCTAAACACTGTCTTCGGAAAGGTGTTCTGTAAACATCATATTCTTTTTGTCATAAATTTTTGAAAACTGATTTGGTATGCAAATGAAAATGATGGGTGATTGATTCTCAATTTTTCATTGTTTTTGTTTTGGTAAACACGAGATGAAAAATTTGAAAACGATAGCAAGCAGGGTCGCTTTTGCCACAGAGTTTGTAGTTCTTGATTTGCAATTGATATTTGAAACAGAACTTTAGCAAACTCTCCTTTTGGTAGTTTGGACTTCAAAACATATTCAAGCAATATTTGTGGAGTTCGTATGTGTCTGCATTTCCTACATTGTAGTACTATTGATGAACAATAAAGATATGTGCAAAAAAAATCATGATTTGATCTGTGACCGAAGCAAATTTATAAAAGAAAAAAAAAATAGAATAAAATAAAATAAGTAAGAAAACATAATTGTAACCAAGAACTAGCCAGATAATTGCTCCAAAGCAGAGTTCAATTTTTGGGTTTTCTACAAACTTAATCAATGTAAGAGCTACTCATTTCATGCATTTTGTCGCGATATCTTGCGCACCTCATCGCACTATTACG